CTTTGTCCAGCTGTGTACTAAAGCAGGCTGATGATGATGATAAAAATCTTTTAAAACCATTTTACTCACAACAATTGTAAAAACACTTACGATCCGATGTCACCAATCCATTTTTTATAAATTTGTTTGCGAATTTGTAATGATATGATTTCTCTAAACATTTGTTGGCTATGACACCGGCGTCTTCTGGGTCACTTACAACTAAAATAAGAGAAAAGTCACATCACTCTACTTGTACATAAAAGTTATCATCAAAGCAGAGAATTATAACTTGCCATATATATATTGAGGGCCCACTTGCAAACTAATACACCCATCGTGTTCAATCATGTAATCGCATATTTCTTTTAAATAACTCCATAAGTCTGAAATGAAATTTAGTTTTAAAATTGTAAGCGTCTGTAATACGAATATAAGTGTGAGAGAGTCATTTTTCGGCACAAATTGTCGGCTTGTCCTGATCGAGCCATTGAACCACAGCCTCGTAGAAAACCGGCGTCAAACAATCCGAGCGTTGTTTTAGCTGTAGTGCCTAAGCATAGAGTGCTTAAAGAGTTACTGCGCTTAAGTATTCGAAACTGAACAACAATATTAATACTTCGATAAGTTGGTAATGACGGTACCGGTGAAAAAAGTACTGAGAAATTGTTCCAACATGTTTTGACCACCACCGTCTATTTTAGTTTTGATTCGAAACGTACTGCATTTTCTATAGTGCTTATTTATTTACGTAGATATGAAAATATATAAAATATTTATTTGTCCTGAAAAAAAAACCTGATCCAAAATTAATAAAAAGACTTTTACCATTTAGGTTTCTTAATAAATCGGATATATGTCCAATTATGGGCAATGCACCAGGATATTTTGGTGGTGAACAAGAACGCGGTCTCCAGCACCACATTAAACACACAACGACAAATATTAAAGCCAGTACTAATACAGACATTGTGGATTACTGTTATGAACTAGGTTGTTATTGTATAAGAAGCCTCATATTTATACAAGAACATTGAGGGCAATTTAACCTTTTGATGTCATAAAAGGACGACGTGCCCTCAGCGCCATACCAAAAATTTTAACCAAAATACCTAAACAAAACATTAGTGAGTTTCGTATGATATCGATAAAAACTGACTGTTATTTTTAAACAGTATTATTTTAATAAACTTTTAAATATCTCAGGGTTTTTATTTTCTCCCGTTGTGTCCTTCTATGATGGTATGTGTCAACATTTCAGTAACATTAAGCTTTTAAATCCACTATTAAATATATCAATCGATAAAATCAAGTCCATCATCACAGCACTTTGTTCAATCATGAAGTACTTTTCGTTCTATGACGATGTTTTTTTTATTTGCTCGCTTCTTCACTATTTAGGTTCAAGCATTATTTATCTTTAATATCTACTTAAATAATAATAAAGTTTTATTATTTTATGATTTTGTTTATTTTATACTGACAACGCAACGTAATAGATAAAGTTAGTTTGAGATTGAGGTTGACAGGAGAGGTTGTTTTTTTAGTTTGTACAGGCCCTAAGCTTCAAAACGTTTTGTCCAATTTTAAATAATGTTTTTTTTTTATTTAATTCATAAAATAGTTACGTTAGGTTAACTCTTCATCCAATAATTCCACCCATTTTTCTGAATATTAGAGTCATTTTCAATATGTGTTTTGAAAGTAATATGAGTACTGAGGACATAATAGGTACATCTTATTAGGTCCTCAGTACTCATATTACTTCTACCTACATATTATCTACAATTCTTCTTCAGAATAAATATAATTACAAGTATTATAATTTCATAAGAAGGTGCTCCTCGATTGTCGTTCGACGTGAAGGATTAAAGGGGGGATTGTCCAATAGTGGACGTCTTCCGGCTGATGATTAAGATGATGATGTGCTCCTTGATTTAAATACTTTCGGCGTTTGACTTCACACTATTTACAGTGACTTACCAGGCACAGGCAATTTGACAGCGTGATGGGGAAGGATATTATGGCTATTATGCTTCTTCTTTCTTTAGGGTATTATAGCCATTTGATAATCAACTTTAAGGTGTGGGAGAGCTAAGCCTCGTCACGAATGGGTCGGCTCGACTAGAGTGATACTACGGCCTCACAGAAAACCGGCGTGAAACAACCACAGCCTTGAGTTTTATCGTAAGTGTGTGAGGTGTGTCGAGGCCCAATCCTTCCCTTCCCCCAGTCGCTAAATCTCCAAATTGCTAATCCCCAAAAGGTCGGCAACGCACTCGTAGCTCCTATAAAAAGAAAACTGACGCCGACATTTGATGAGCAGCAGCAGAGCATAGGTCAGGTTAAAAAACTTTCGTGATTTCTCAATTATAAAACTTGAATATAAACGTTTGCATTTCAATTTGTAGAATAACTTAAAGATAAACTGTAACGCAGGTTGCAGTTCAGGTCGATATTTTTGTAATGTTGCTTTTTAGGTACATCACTATTGGTCATCCTATTGAGACTGTAATGTAGAGGGAACTTTGTTGTTTGGAACTTTAGAACTGGTTAAAGTTTTTGTCATTTTATGTTAATATAGATGAAATACAATAAAGCAGGTCAAATAATATAAATAAGAAAGAGACAAAGAATATAATTAGCAAAAGAAATAAAAATATTAATGTTATTTTATATGCTTCATTTACGTTTAAAAGTCTGTCGTGTAAACGTGACCGTGGGGTGCTGGGCAATTTTGGGCTTGTCGTCTGTAGATGACTGTCTTTGACTGTCTGTTTTAAAAAACGTTGCCCGACTCTAGGATTTCTAGGATTTCTCCTGTGTACCATACAAAATTTGAAATTTATGGAACAAAGTCTAATAATAACAAGTAATGCTGCAGCCACATAATAAAAAAAAAACAGTAAGCAGATACTGATCCAAACAACCAAAAGTATCTCATAGGAATCTTATTGAAGAAATAAAAACCAGTTGCATGTTCTCTTAACCTTTCGTTTGGCGTGGTGGCTCAACTGGCTGCCGTGCAACGTGTCGCGGGTTCGATTCCCGCACGGAACAACTCTTTGTGTGACCCACAAATTGTTGTTCCGGGTCTGGGTGTCATGCGTATGTGAAATTGTATGTTTGTAAACGCACCCACGACACAGGAGAAAGGTCTAGTGAGGGGAAACGTTAAAAAAACAATTTAAATTAAGAATTATTAACCCTCTAAACAACTACTTTACCCTTTTAACAAAAACTTAAGTTGTTTTTTTTTTCAAAAAAACGTTTATAGGAACAATTGTCTGTGAGAATTTCAAAAGGTACAATTAATTATATTAACATAAACGATTCTAAAATAATATCAAAATATGTGTCGCAATTAGGTCTAAACATCCAAAATTAATGGTGTATTTAAATCACAACATTAGTCCTTAATTTTATGAACCGACCTTCGCTTTAGATAATGAACAATGTTAATAATTGTTATATTTATTTAAAATAAACAATTAGTATGTTGACTTCAAGAAATAATAAAAATAATTATTATTTTTAAATTTTCCTAATGGAAGGTGAAAGAAGGTAAACATAATACTATTCGTAAGTAACACATACAATACAATGCGCGATACAGAAGCGAATGCGCTCGCGTGCGTCTACAGTTTGCGCGCAGTCGCGCCGCGTCGCCGTGGCAAGGATTCTCAGCCGCGCCAAATTAGTGCGTGGCGGAATGAGCTCCGGCGAGATCTCATGGCTGAGTGGAAGCAACGACTGTCGCAACCGAAGGCCGGGCACGCTGTTATAGCATCAATAAAACCCCTCTTTGAGGAGTGGTTTGAGAGACGCCACGACGTCCTCACCTTCCGCCTGACTCAGGTACTTACCGGGCACGGCAGCTTCGGTAGGTTCCTGTTTCGGATCCAGCGGGAGGAAACGCCCGAGTGTCGTCATTGTGAGGACCACCTAGAGAACACGGTGGAGCTTACGGTGGCGGTGTGCCCTGCTTGGGCTGAGCATCGCCGTGTCCTAAGGGAAGTGAACGACGGCGGCGACCTCTCGCCCGGCCCTAGTCAAGGCTATATCAGAACCATTTTTGTACTATTAAACCTAATATATACAAGCATTTTTCCTGTATTTTGTTATTGTGATCGTATTTTCTTTTAAATAAACAAAAGAGTTATTAAGACTGGTTTACGCATTACAAAATTACCTACTAATAATTTAACATTTAACATACATAACCTGTCTAGCTTCTATAAATTAGTTATCCAATTTCCTAAGAGATGGAGCTGTACTTTTCTATGAATTGCGGTGTTAAAATTTACAATAACTCTTAAATGGGCACACTTATACTGTAACAGACGGCCGAAACTACGGAACCACACACTGAGCGATATACTTTCGGCCTTTTGTATTTTTATTTTTTATATATAATAAATAAGTTGTAGCACCACCTTATCAGTACTAGCATCACCCTACTGTCACATGAAGCCTAACAATCATTGAATGAAAATGAAACAATCATTTATTTATTTGTAAATCGACTTTAAAACAGCACTGTTACACGTCATAAGTATTCGTGAAAAACTAGATGAAGCAGGCATTACTTACCTATCTGACTTTCTAAAAAGAAATGCCGAAACATACTGAGAGGTCCTTTAAGTCCAGACAATGTAAACAAAATAAAAATGTGTGGGAATTCAGATTTCAGATTTAGGTAGTGTATTAATTATTATATTAGTATTGTTTAAATTAAGCACATTTTCATTATTAATTAGTCTCTACTGAAATAAAATAACAAAAAATAAAATAAGTTCGAATTTATTTAGTATTATGGCGTCTAGGCTGCCGTCTTCAAACAATAAAAATTAACTAAAAAACTCTCTTCTACTTATGTAAATTTTTAGTTAGTTACAAAATTAAACATATATTTTTATATTTTGTAATGCTTATTTCTATCCACTTCTGGCGTTTTCAATGTGACCCCACCGACCTACATATATTTATTTTATCTTAGACATATACAAATGTTCCTTATACTAAGATCTTAACTTTAAAGTAATATAAGCTGGAGTTTTAGGTTTAATTACAACTTCGTACTTCCATTTTAAATTCATGATATCACCAGTAACGTGGAATTTTCTCACAATATGTGCGAGAGAGGTCTTCAAAACCATTAAAGTGTACTGTTTTCCTGTAACAAAATAAACAAGTTATTTAACAATTAAAAAAAGATATATCTATCTTTTAAGTGTGGGAGAACCAAGCACGAATGGGTCGGCTCGTCCAGAGTGATACCATGGCTTCACAGAAAACCAGCGTAAAACAACCACAGAGTTGTGTTTCGCCGTCTGAGTGAGGTTACGCAGGCTCAATTCTTACTCTACCCCATTCCTTCCTAATCCTTAAATATCCGAAACCTTTATCCCCAAAAGGCCGGCATTGCACTCGTAACTCCTTTGGCGTTCCGGGTGTCCAAGCGCGGCGCCGATTGCTTAGCGTCAGGTAATACGTCTGCTAGTTGGCCGACCCATGTTATAAAAAAATGAAAATTGATAAGGGCACGGACAACGAGTCCGTGGAGAATTTAAACTTATATTATTAAAAAAATGTCCGTACCAATGCAGTTTCGCTTGCCAATACCAAACGCAGCGTACACGTTAGGGTTTGTAGGTAAAGTCGCAGGATTTAGCCATCGCTCTGGTTTGAACTGATGGACATCTGGTCCCCATGAAGAGTGACGATGGAGACCGTACAATGACAATATACAGGTACTTCCAGCGCGTAGCGTATATTTTGCTATAATTATACGAAAAAAGACACTGATTATAAAAAAAATATTGCTGTTGGTTAGTCTCGCTAAAACTCGAGAAAGGTTTGACATATGCTGCTTATACAGAAAACGTTTAAAAGGTCTCTCTTTTTCTACTATTTTCTACTAAGGTCAGAAAATGAGGAAAAATAAGCAAAAAAAAATAAAGTTATAATTGAGGCAGTATGGAGGTTGCCGGGTCAGCTAGTCTATACTATAATATTATAAAGAGGTAAAATTTGTAAGTTTGTATACGTATAGGGAGTAATCTTTGGAACCACTGGTCGGATTTCCAAAATTCTTTTACTGATAGATAGCTACAATTTTTCTGAATGCTATAAAATATCACGCTACGATTAAATGGAGCCGAGCAGCGGGTGAAACCGCGCGAGAGTAGCTAGTAGCAGTATAAAAAGGTGTACTCAGACTAATTTGATTTTTTTTTTACTTAGAAGCTAAATTATTAAGTTATTTAGTTGTAAGTAGAGGAAAACCGACCATTAATGCTATTCTATTTATTTTGGGAATTGATATTAAAATAATATTTATTAAATTAAATTATTTTAAATTGAGGGTAATATCGTAAAAGAAATAAGTAAATAAATAGTACTTACACAGCACTATATCAGTATGGATTTTCCTTGCCACCCAAGGAATCGAATCATATAGTCTCATTGCCTCCTTTATCACTGCTTCTAAGTAAACCAATTTTGACATATCGTGTTTAGTCAAATCATCATTATTTTGGAATACATCTTGAACTCTGTAATGTAAAGAAAAAACAATTTCTGTTACAATAATTGTGATCTTTATTTATGGTGTAAGTCAGCAAACGAGCAGACGGATTACCTGATGGTAAGCAATCGGCGCCGCCCATGGACACCCGCAACACCAAAGGAGTTACGAGTGCTTTGCCGGCCTTTTGGAGATAGGGGTTGCGGATATAAGGATCGGGAAGGGATAGGGGAAGGGGCGGGATTGGGCCTCCGGTAACCTCACTCACACGGCGAAATACAACGTTGTGGTTTTTTCACGCCGGTATTCTGTGAGGCCGTGGTATCACTCCGGTCTAGCGGACCCATTCGTGCCGAAGCTTGGCTCTCCCACACTTTCTGTTCGCTTCGATTGCCGAAGAGATAAATCATTTGTTTATTGCTCGTTCTTCACGGTACGAATCTTCATTTTGGAACGAACACCTAGCTTTAGACTTATATCCATTGATGGATAGGCTGACAAACAATTCAAGTTTTATGTTTCAAAATTGAATTTTGGTCTAAGATTATTTGAAATAAGTGCTTTAACATTGACATCGCTAATTGGTACGCACTATAAGTTAGTTAGGAAAGTAACGTAAAAATTAACTTATTCAGTTTCGAGTTTATTTTAAAGTGTATGCAATCGACGTGTGTGAATTTGAACGTAAAGCCTATTTGGCCTCTATTACGCCTCGTGGCAAGTTACAATGCGTTCTAATGATTCAGGACTCCTACTTATAAGCCACCTATTTACTCAGGCTTTGAAGACACTATAAACCTATTTTAAAAATTGGTCCAAAATTATTTCTTTATTTCGCAACTTACTCTTTATAAACTCGTTCCTGGACATCCGGGTATGATCCAAGCACCAGCAGCATGGTCTTCAGCGCTGACGAAGTTGTATCGTAAGAAGCTGCTACAAAAGAGTCTAGATGTTCTCTGATTTCATCGTCAGTTAACACACTTTCTTCATCAGATAGATGCAGTAAGAGATCCAGCATGGGTTTGAATTTACCTTAAGGAAAATGAATTAAGATACCACGGTTAATTATCTCACGGGGTCATAGATTGGCTGCAAAAAAACGTGAAGCTATCAAATCGCTTTTGGCCCAAAACCTTATTTCAACCAAAAATAGCCAGCCTGTCCAGGCGAATCATTCATACCTCGCTCAAGTACTTGTGATTGCAATCACGCAACTTTTACATAAATTCTTTAATAAATCTCAGTAAATTTATTATGACCTCAATGGCAAATAATCCGTAAGAAATATGACACCGGTATCTTCCTTTTAAATTTGAAATGGCTAAAGCTTTTTATCAGAAGTAATCTAATTAGATACTATACAAAAACTTTTTTTATTTTATGTTCATATATCTACTTACCTGTCACTGAACTATCGTCATTAGCCATGTTGTTGTTTGCTTGTAAATCAACTTTACGTTTCTTAATTATCTGAAATATTAAATTTTATTAAAAAATGATAATTTTACATTAATTTATAAACGAGGCAAAACATACGAACAGGATTTATCATATTCTTGATACTTGTGGTGAGTTCCTGTTCTTTCCTTTTCATGGCGGTTCTGTTGTATATAAATGATGGATGCAACCACGTATTAAGACCTCGATGACAAAGTATTGCTACAATTTCATCAACTGCTTTCGCATAATCGTTGTCAATCATATCTTGATCTGTAGCTTCTAGCCCTAACGATGTTCCTACAAACACAAACATTTATATATTTTTCTGGGATGATTAAACGACAAACGAGTTGACAAAATTGAACTTTTAATAGTTGTTACATTTATGTATTGTAACAACTATTAAAAATTCAATTCAATAAACCTAATTTTATTATATAATTATTTTTACAACATATCTTGCATGCCAAGTGAAAGCAAAATATGGAGAAACTAAACTTTGTTAACATCTATATATTATGTACCCATGTTTGCGAATGATTAACTGAATATGAATATGAAATCACCTGATCGTAAGCAATCGGAGCCGCCTATGGGGACTCACAGACGTTACAAGTTGCCTACACATTGTTCACACTTTTTTATATACTTACCATATCGTTTTTTTATGGTATAAGTCGGCAAACGGGCAGACGGATTACCTGATGGTAAGCAATCGGCGCCGCCCATGGACACCCGCAACACCAAAGGAGTAACGAGTGTGTTGCCGGCCTTTTGGAGATAGGGGTTGCGGATATAAGGATCGGGAAAGGATAGGGGAAGGGGCGGGATTGAGCCTCCGGTAACCTCACTCACACAACGCTGTGGTTGTTTCACGCCGGTATTCTGTGAGGCCGTGGTATCACTCCGGTCGAGCCAACCCATTCGTTCCGAAGCTTGGCTCTCCCATATTAAATTTACATATTTGAATTTAATTTTTCCTTTTGTGGGTTCTTAGGTTATTAGGGATAGATTTGGGGATTGAGGACGAGGAAGGGGAAGGATTGGGCCTGTGGTAACATCTTTCACACGAGACAGAACAAAAGTTTTCAGGACGGTATTATTTGAGACATGGTACTCAAGGCAAGGCGGCCCATGCGTGTCAAAGCATAGTTTGCTGTAAGTTTTATTAGTAAGAAAGTAATAGTATGTATAGACATTTTATTTTATAGCATCACTTTTACTTACGACAAACTACTCTTAGAATGTGTTTCACCAAAAAATCATGAACATCAACTGGTTCCGTCCCAGCAACAGTACTCAACTGTGAGGCAAGATTTCGAGCTTGTACATTTACTTCGTTAAGAAATGTGTTCAATATTTGCTGGCTAAAGGCGGGATTTAGTAATTTTCGGTGTATTTTCCACATAGCCGCTGAAATAAAATAATAATTGTAAATGTAAAATAAAAATAATTTTACAGAAATATATATTTTGTCAAAATAAACAGGCGATTGTGCTAAAATAGCACCCTGTGGCATTCCAGGATTAAATTTTTTTTACCATTATTTAGTAAACAAAACAAATTATTCAAAATTGTTAATAATTTAAGAAAGTTGGATCTTAAAATGTCATGAAACTATCTTGACTAGCTTTGTAACTTTGTCTCATTACTCACCATCAGCCGTTATCAATCCATTTCCTAAGAAATCTTGTGAGAATTTATAAAAATATGCTTTTTCGAAACATGTATTTGCAATGACGCCGACATCTACTGGATCGTTCATAACTGTAATTAAAGCATAGTTTTGTTATCTTAATACTACAATTAAATTTTATTTCAAATGCTCTTTGGACGGGAGTCGATTAAAATATATTTAATACTTAGATTAAGTAAAGCTATAAGTAAGCCTATAAATATAACTAATTAACTATAAATATAATTATAAAGGATTGTAAAAACAACAATTGATTTATAAAAAATGATTTGTTGTTTGTTGTTTTTATTAGGGGAAATTCATCAAATGACTTCTCCCGCCCAGTGTAAAGCGAGAGAGGGTGACAGACTCTTACTGACTAAAACCCCCATTCCTTCTCCTGCGCTGGCCCGAGGCCGCGGTGACTCATTGTGCTTAACCCGCAACCCCGGCTGAACATCAGCCATATAGGGTCCGGTCTGTGGTATTGTTTTGTACATTAAGGTAACAATTATGCAACTACTTCTTCAATAGTAATTAATTGCATAATTTATTTTTGCAATTTCTATGGATAAAACAATAGATAAGTTAATGATATAATATGTATGCTAATAATATTGGACTTATGCTCACCATAAACTGTACGTGGGCCGATCCGTAATTGTGATATCCCACCGTTCTCTACCACGTAGTCACCAATCCGTTTCATAAGGCTCCATTTATCTTAAATCAAACAATTTATTACCAACGAATAGATTAGAATCAACGATAAAATTAAAAACATTGATACAAGAGGCTTAATCAATGTCAGCATATTATTATTACTTATAATAGTTGATAGGCTACATTGATAGTACAAACTAATCTTGAAATCTATCTAACACGTGTTTTAAGTTAGGTAAGTCCCGTTAAAATTGTAGAAAAGTCTTGTGACAAACACTAATCATTAGAAATGAACACGATACAGAAAAAGGAACTACAAGGACGAGCATTACTATAAGAATTAAAATATTGAAGAACATACTTTTCACTTACCATTGCGACTTTTAATCAATAAATGCAGATGTCCAATGATGGGCAATGCTCCAGGATACGTCGGAGGTGAACGAGGACGAGGTCTCCACCAGCACCATAATAAAAATACTACACCAAGTATTCCAGTCAACAGTATCGCAGACATTTTTATTTTGAAATACCTATAATACACGAACACGACTAAAGCTAGACTGTATTGGTACTTAACAGTGTATGAATAAATAAGTTTGGTCACTATACTTTTCAATTTTTGTTTTTAATCGTACAAGGGCTTCAACTACAATTTATTCGAAATCCTGTTTTTTGTAGTTCGAAAACATAATCTTACCATTCACTAATCAATATATCACTACCAAAGCAAGCTTTTTTGAGATAGGAAAATCATCTAATGACTTATCTTGCCCTGCGTAGGGCGAGAGGCAGTATCAGACTCTTACACCCGGTTTCTGAAAGGCTTGTCAACGCTAAAATTTACTAATCTCCTGTTAAATCTCTTGTCAAATCATCTGATTGATTGTTGATAATTCAGTCAACCAATCAGTTGACTTGACAAGAGATTAAATTGATTTTAACATTGACCGGCCTTTCGGAAACCGGGTGTTAGTGTCTAAAAGCTATCCCGTTCCTTCTTCTGTTCCAGGCCCAAGCCAGAAGAATTTACTGTTTCTGTAAAGTTGTTTTTTTTAACTTGGGAATGACTTTGTCAATTGGGTTTCATGTCATCCTATGGAAGTCCCATAATATAATTTTATAAATTTGTGTTTATTATAATGAAACCAAAATATATATGAGCCTTAATATATGAGCCTTAGTTACAACTAGTAGATGATGCAACTTGAGCTCGCACACAAAATATTGACGAATTCACTAAGTTGAGCAAGCTAAATAAGATAAACAAAAAACTATAACGTACAACTATGGGCAGTAGTCTACCAGGCGCGGTCACCTTGTCTGGTCGTAGGGTCATATCTTTTACTTTTTTAAGGTTTTTAATGAACTTAACACCCCGTTGCCTAAAAACGTAACAATATTAATCTGTTCTTATATTTTACCCGTCGTGTTAACCTTATGTTTAAATTATCATCATCGTCATCATCATCATTATTATCATCATCATCATCATCATCCATGTCATCGTCACCACCATTATTACAATCAGTCACGTGACGACAACAGTCAACATAAGCCACACCCAATCACTTCCATATCGGCTGGTTGCAAATAACCTGTATTCAGAATGTTATGACCAAATTATAATATTCCTTTTATTTCCTTAGTAACATTTGAAAATTCTAAATCGTCGAATCATACTTATCACGACCTTCAAACTTAACCTCATTGCTTTGATCCAAAAATAATTTCACTTCTTTCTTTTTTTTTCTAATTTCTCATTAGTACACTAGCCTGCACACTAGCCTTACCGGTCTTGACAAAATATTACCATAAAATACGTCCCATCGAAAAAATGACTTCGTCATGGTCGGAATCAATAAATTAAGCCAAGTAACAGGTTTCTGTAGCGTTCTGTACGTCAACTTATATTGGCTTGAGGAAATTTGGAGTAAAAATCACATAATTTACAATTTTACTTTACACTCAAGTATTGGTACAACTTACATATTATTTGTTTGACATTAACAACCTCTTAGGAAAGTGGTTACATATGCGTGACGGATGAGCTAGAATTCAGGAGCAATCTTAGAGCATTGTTGTTTGATTACGTAATAAATACAAAGACGAGATGTTGTAAGTAGATTTTCAAAAGAAAAATGCTTGACTAAATTTTCGGGGTAGTACGGAGTCAGCCAGGGTTAAACTACCGCGGATTCGGCTTGGAGGAGGAGAATGAAGGGGGTGCTTTTATGCCAGCAAGGACTGACACGCCCGCTCGCCGCACCCAAAGTAAGAGAAGTAACTTGATGATTTCCTCCACTCAAAAAAACAAGTATAAGACTCCGCCCATTTTGTCATCTACCAGTTAATAGTAAAATTAGTACCTTATTCTATAAATATCACGCTGTAGTCGAATTACTATCTCACACTAGATGTCACAAGTGAAGCACTCTACAGGGTCACATTCAAAATTCTCAGCGAAGGAAGTTCTAAAGTCTCCTGTTTTTTTCTTATTTTGATAAAAAGGCTTATCAATAAAGGTTTGCGTGGCAGCCCTTTCAAAACCGATTAAAGCCACGCGACACGAAAAACAGGTTACACTAAAGTCTCGTTTACGTAGACACAGCGGACCACTACATTGCTTGAAGAACCACACATATATAATGAAGACTATCAGCAATGTATTGCGAACCGCACAACGCGTCGTTTCTCCGCAAATGAGGCCTGAACCGGATCACGATTGGGTGCTAAGGGCGTCCGTCTGCTTATTGTCACCACAAATAATTTATTTAATTGCCAATTTATACACATATATAAATTATAAGCACAGAAAATAATGATACCAAAAACAAGTAATAGAGCAATAATAATGATAACAATCTAATTTATTTAATCAAAAAATTAAATGTATAATATAATTATGTTAAAAATTGACATATTCCAAAGTTATTTTAAAAATTAAATGTATAATATAATTATGTTAAAAATTGACATATTCCAAAGTTATTTTTTGTTATGATTAGCAATGGACGATGGTTGGATGGTAAAGAGTTGCAGCTTGGAGGAAGATATCGATAGTTCATCATCATCATCATCATCAGCCTGTTGTCGTCCACTGCTGGACATAGGCCTCCCCAATTGCACGCCACTGAGCTCGATGTTCAGCTCTTCTCATCCAACCACTGCCAGCCACCCTGCGGATGTCGTCAGTCCACCTAGCTGGAGGGCGCCCTACACTACGTTTGCCTAGACGTGGTCTCCACTCTAGAACACGTTTACTCGGTTCTTACACGGTTCTTCGACAGATGTGACCTGCCCACTGCCACTTAAGTTTGCTAATCCTTTGGGCTATGTCGATAACCTTAGTTCTCTGTCGGATCACCTCGTTTCGAATACGATCCTTCAGAGAGACTCCAAGCATAGCCCTTTCCATAGCTCGCTGAGCGACTTTAAATTGGTGGATCAGTCGCACTGTAAGTGTCCACGTCTCGGCTCCGTATGTCATCACTGGTAGGACGCACTCATTGAAGACTTTTGTCTTCAGGCTTTGCGGTATCTTTGACGAGAATACCCGACTGAGTTTCCTATACGCTGCCCAGCCAAGCTGTATCCTCCTACGAGCCTCCCTCTCGAAGTTGTTTCTACCGAACTGGATAGTTTGCCCGAGGTAGACGTACTCTTGAACAACCTCGAGAGGAGATCCATTGATGGTGATCGGCTCCGGGAGAACATGTTCATTGAACATGACCTTCGTTTTTTGTAGGTTCATCCGGAGTCCGATGCGAGCAGAGGAATCAGCCAGGCTGTTCAGCATATATTGTAAGTCCTGCACGGTTTCAGCCACGATTACAATGTCATCTGCAAATCTCAAGTGTGAGAGATACTTGCCGTTAATATTTAGGCCCCGGCCTTTCCAGCGCAGCGTCTTGAACATATCCTCCAAAGCATTAGTAAACAGTTTGGGGGAAATAACCATCGATAGTTGTCAAAGTAAAATCATTTATTTCAAATACACTTCGTGAAAAGTACAAATTTGTGTCTATCAATCTATCAATTTATCTGATTTACTTTAGTTCTCTAGTAAAGCTATTTTCTCGTTTCAAAGTATAGAATCCTATGAGCAAGAAACTCCATGGTTACTCTTTTTCAAACAATAGCACTATTTCAATTGGTTACACGGTTGGTACTACGGTACAGGGCCGTGGCATTAAAAACCTCCATTTTTCGCTAACTGAGGCACATTGTATACCCGATGGGAAATAGAATCTAAAAGCACTCGAGCGCAGAAGAATTGAAATGGGTGTCACGAATTAGGCATATGGAATATTTCTTCTTCTTTTCTTCTTACTTCTAAGTTTTGGTAAGACATAGTATCTAGCAAAATGGTGTTGGGTACATAAAAATAATATAGGTAGTTGTTGTAAATATTTAGATTAGAGGTAATGAACAATATACTTCTGAACTCGTCCAATGATGTATGAGTTGTATCTACAATATTTTTAAGACTTGCTACACAAAACCCATTCATAATTCAGACCATTCTTATAAACACGGTTTGAAGGGCTTATGAAGAGAGCTGGTGTTGTTTATGGGATGTGTTGCCTTATAATATAGCATGACTGCACATTGCACACTGCATTGAGAGCAAGAATTTATTTTCAGGAGCAATGCAACCAACAAAGACCTAGCCTTTAAGGCGCAAAAACGATGTATCCGATCAAGTAAGTACTGATTCAACGAAATCCTGTGTTCCATATTTTAAAGAACTAAAGATACTGTCACTCCCCTGTCTGTTTATTTACGAATGTGCCATGTTCGCTAAACCAAATATCCACAGTTTCAAATTTAGTAATAGAGCTAGACGTAAATACACAATGACACGTGAAACCCACAAAACAGTTCGTTTCCACAAAAGTGTTTTATCTAATCCCTTTTTTCTGTCAGGGGAAAATCATCAAACGAGTTCTCCCGCCCAGGGTAAGGCGAGAGAGAGTGTCAGACTCTTACTGACTAAAAACCCCCCATTCCTTCACCTTCTGTGGGCCATGGCCGCGGTGACTCATTGCGCTTAACCCGCAACCCCGGCTGAACATTAGCCCTATAGGGCCCCGTCTGTGGTGGTCTATTGGCTCTTTGAAGCGCGCGCAGAACGCTACGCGCCATACGCTCGGGTCAGGTTTATCCAATCTAAAATTGGCAATTTATTATATATCTCAAGAGATATATAAAAAATTGCCAAAGACTATCAGAGATTTAGATTTGCATATTTATAAAAATAAACTATTTCATTTTTTATAATATAAATGTTACTAGAATTTAGAGGATTATCTCGATGATGTTATTTATTTAATTTTGATTGTTCCCGTACATTTCTTGATTTGCATTTTTTGATTTGGAATTATTTATTTTAAATTTATGAGAATGTTTATGTCCTTTTATTTTTGACATGACATGTATAATAGTTCGTTACTTCTCCAATATTTCTACGAAGAAAGATTATTTCGACTACAAAAAACTTCCGATTTTTTTAAACTTTTGCAATTCTGTTTAGTAAACTTTTGAAGTGCTGCATAGTGAATTGCTATTATTATTTTCTACTTAATTGATTATGCTATGTTTATGTCGTAAATGTCACTAACATACTTAAAAGTTATTGTATGCCATTATGGCGGATCACACTTGTGTACAATTTTTTAAACATGTAACACCTCTTTGCTTATCTATGTACCACAATAAACAATTTTGTATTTGTAAGATTTATTTCAACGTTCCACTCGTGTGAGTAGTCGATGTCTAGCTAGACTAGAGCCACTTTGACGTCATCAGCGTCCATCAACACTGTTGAGTGCTCTACATGCGAGTATGTCATTTAATATATTCAAAAAGAGTAAGGGCCGACGTTAGCCTAAATCCTATGCCAAAAATAGTAACATAAGATTTCCAGTCAGCACCCTCACATGGGATATAATTTGCTGCCGACTATGCAGGTAGTTGCTAAATAATCTCAGCAGTAAGAAGAAGAAACCAGCCAATTCCAGTTTCCTTAAAAGTACACACACTGTCAAAAGCCTTCCAAAAATAAAAAAATCGCCAACACCCTGTAAGACGTCTATTGGTTTTTGGTCGCCTACTCTTTGTAATTCCTCTGTAGCGTGAGTTTTATGCTCCATGGGCTGGATATACTATACATTTAAAAGAATATTAAGACTCTTTAGTTGACCAAAAAGTTTAAAACTTGTGCATGGTTTGTGGTAATAAGATCAGTTAGTTGGATAGACTGGCCATCTCATAGATCTTATCGAAATAGTGAAGTATACACGATATATTGACTGCTAGATTGGGCACTTGGCTGCCGTGCAATGTATCTCAAGTTCGATTCCTACACAGAAGAACAAATTTTGTTATCTACAAACTGTTTTTCCGGGTCTAGATGACACTGTATGTTACTATGAATATATATTTAAACGCACTCACAATAAGAGAAAGAAATCGTAACGTGAGGTAACATTTAAAAAAAACTTATAGTTATGTCAAAATAATTTATTACAAACATAATAAAAGGGTTTTAAATGAAACTTAAAAATATGTAGCTTCAATACTGCTTAATCACTATGAATAGATTATTCTAGAACCTTTCTTCTAGGACTTACAAAGGAAAAAAAAATAAAGATTATTCTAAATAAAATGGCCGTTTCACCGATGTGAAAAATATAATTTAAAATTATACGAATACACCATAAAGGTTAACAATAAATTTCAACCTTATTAAATTAAAAACAAATATTTATTTATTATTTTGAAAAACAAGTTTTATTATTTTTAAACTCGGTTTAAGGAAGTCGAATAAAACGTCAGAACACATGTGACGTCACGATACGCAAACAAGATCGACCTTAGAAGAACATGGTTGTGAGGGACAGGACGGTACCGTTGGCTACGTAGAGGGAAATAAAGCCGGAAAGTCAACGATATTGTGTCGACGCCGGTGCCACATACCGCATGCCGCACAGAGTAAATTGTGTTTCTTAAATTATATAATGTATTTTATAAGAAAGAGATAGCTGTAGTGAGAGAAAACTACCCTTTCACATGTTTTAAAAATATATTTTGTCAAAATATTTATGTAGCTAATTGCTATAATGTAAAAACTCCACAGAACGTCACCGAAGGAAGGACATTTATATGAGGTTATGTCTAGCTGTGAACTTATTTATTTCTTAATTGTATATTTACATGTAGGTACGTTGATCATATTATATACATTTATAATACTTCACTATATAAAAATATAATCTAGTTAATTAGATATGAATGGTGAATAGTGCAAGATAGTTCTCCCTTACCAAGAATTTAAAATTGGACACTGTTTCTTTCGAATTGGATTTGACAATGCATTCAATAGGCGGGCCGCTTGGGCACAAAATAACTGCATAATATTTGTAGACGAGTACCTAGTTGGAGATAAAAAAATCAACATTAAATGTAAATTAATTCATCCACTAATTAAACATAAAGAGTTACTTACGTGACTTAACTAAGAAAACCTCTCCTACTTATTATTATTGTCTATTACTATACGAATATTATTCATTTTTGATTGTTACATCAAAAATGTCGAAGTAACAAAAAAATTGCCTTCACCTGCATGTAATTTTTTTTTTCTTTTTGTTAGGGGAAATTCGTCAAATGACTTCTCCCGCCCAGGACCGGGCGGGAGGGAGTGTCAGACTCTTAATGACTAAAAACCCCCCTGTTCCTTCTCCTGCTCTGGGCCGAGGTCGCGGTGCCTCATTGCGCTTACCCCGCAACCCCGGCCACCTGCATGTATGTTAGTCCGTAAATTGAATATTTAATCTAGACTAATAGACATCGGACGAGTGGATTCGTTTACATGGTTTTTGCTTTAAGCCTAACAAATAATGGCGTGTCTTTCTTAACTTCATGACCTTACAGATAAACTAATTAAATGTCCTGAGACAGCTTTGAGTACTATATCATATTCAGATTCTAATTTACTTATATCGCTAAGGAGATGATAGTTTCGTACGAGATATACAACTGCTAATTTCATCACTGTCATGGCGAATTGTTTACCTGTAACAAAAATAAAATAAAATATTATTTACACATGAAAAATTACTTTTTCAAATAACGTAGTTCCATACTAGAATTTTCTCCTGTATTGTGAGTGCGTTCACAAACACAAATTCATATACACAAGCCACCTAGACTCAAAATACCAATTCGTAGATCAAACAAAGCGCTTTTCACGGGGATCGCAACCGAGACATGTTGCATAAAAACCAATTGTCCAGCCATTGCTTGTGCAAAAGAAAAAAGAACATGTCGAAAACGGATCACGTTAAAATCTTCACCAACTGCAATTTGACCAAAACTGCATCTAGAGTCTCTTATTACTTTATTAGTTCCTTGTGATATAATGATATAATACAAATATGTTTAACAGTCCAGATTCTGTAATATTACTATAATTTGTAATCGTACCGAAAGACTGGCAGACCTCATCTATCTAGCGGAAGACGTCTACTAACAACACTATGTGATCCACAAATTGTTGTTTCGGGTTTGAATTTCGAATTTTGAATTTTGAATGTTTGACAACGCTCCCTCGACACAGAAGAAAATCCTAATGAATGACAATACTTTTTTTAAAAGGACTTTCTTCATCGTTGACTGATGATAATCGAAACCATTAAAGTTTGAGTTATAACCGAATAATGAAATTAATTTTATAGTAACATTGTTAAAACAGTCCAAACTTACCAATGCAGTTTCGTCTGCCAATTCCGAAACTACCAAACGCATTAGGGTTGGTAGGAAAGTTTGCTATGTCAAACCATCGTTCTGGTTTGAACTCGTTTACATCGGGACCCCACATGGGATGATGACCAACACCATACAGACTTAGGATGCAAGTGCTTCCCGATCTCAGGGTATAGTTTTCTGCAAAATAAGAATAATTAATTTAGTCAAGTAGCGGGCGAACAAAAACTTGGAGAGGTGCCTAGGAACAAAATGAAACAAAGCTCCTCTTGATTAATTAGAGAAAGAATTGATACAAAGTTATATTTTTAGATAAGATAAGATTAATTTATCGTATTTATTTTAAAATATTATTTAACAAAAAATATAAATGCATATACACTCAACAAAAATAATCCGCAATTTGCATTGCTCAATGGTAATTAGAAAGATAAAACAAAAATAACTAGCTTGTTTTCCATGAAAGAGAGAGAGACGGAAAAAGAGAGAGAAAGAGAAAGAGAGAGGAGAACAAAAGAGAGAGGGAGATAAAGAGCGAGAGAGCGATTTCGTCTTAATTTTCTTTCGTGTAGTCCCCTTTCGCAAATTACGGTGAGGATCTTCGCTCCAAAAAAATTGTTTTTTGGAGCGAAGATCCTCACCTAATCCTAATAGCCACCGGTAAACAACTTACTCAGTTTAACATCTTTCTGGATTTTCCTTGCAACTCCTGGCATCGGTGAGTATAACCGAAGTGCTTCTTTGATCACAGCTTCTACATAAACCAGCTTCTGGAGGTCTAATTTTGAAATGTTTTCGTTTTTGTTTGGCTGAACTGCTTGAATCCTGTAAGTCATAAATTGTGACTTATTAAAAATGTATTTCTTACTTATTCAATATGTTCTGAGAAGCTGAGAAGGCCATTATTCGATAACTGCCGACAAATCACTTTGCAGTTTGGCAAATGTTCTTTCAGTTTTAGATACCTGAAACGCGGTTGTGAATTTAACAAATAAAAAAATAAAAGTGAATTCGTGGAAGTAGCTATTGATGTTTTCTTGAAAGAAATCAAAATCTCAGTTATACTGATCATAGTTCATAGGTCACTATAATATGTTACTGGACCATTGACTTCATAATAAATCTAGCATGACTTATATTAACTAAATGGGTAGGCAATAGTATATATGTACAGGTAAAATGCCATTAATTAAACAATGTCACTAATGTAACGAGATACTAATTATTTTTCCCTCCTGCCGATTTACAACTTCATTATAAACTACAAACTACACCGTGCAGAGTTGAACATAAAGCTCAATAGATGGCGTTAAAAGTGCATAGCGTGACTGCTATTCCGGGTCGCAGGTGTAAGTGCAATAACGTGCCGCGGCCCCGACTCGGTTTAAGAGAAGGAACAGGGTAGTTTTAATAAGTCCATAAGAAGAAGTGATTCAATGTTTCCCCCTATTAGGTACATCGCAGTTACGAACATTAAGGTTTAGCAGAGAGCACTTCTGTCTAAACTCCACTAAAATGCGAATTGCTGAAAAATGTTCCCTAGTTTGACGTCACCACACGTCTTTGAATTTGCAGGAGAAGTAACTAGCTCGTTATTTAAAAAAAAATCTATAATAACAATGATTAGGTAGGTACTTCATAAAACTCAACGCCGTCTTGACCTTTTGACCTTTTCGAACGTAACAAAGGCATGTTTGTTCTATACGACAATTTTATTACAGTTATTAACATTTTAATTATAATGAGTTTATGCAATTAATTCATTTTCATTTAATTCTGATTTGTTAGCCAAGGCTATAAATGCTACTGCTGGGCATAATTAGGATTGCAGTGTCGTATGTGATGTACTTTTGTCTTTTATTGTATTTTCCGTTAGATGTTATATTTATAATGTTTTTTTGTTCTTGAACCAACAAAAACATTATTTTACTGAGTTAAATTACGTAATAAATTATTTAATCGTTATTTAGATTCAGATTTTTGGTTAGGTGTTATACTTTAGAAAAGGATAATAGACTTTTAATTAGTCCAAATTTTGTTTTTCGTACCATCACAGCTATTATCCTGCCCACAGGATTTTTCACCAATTATAATATGATCCCCATGTATATAAAGGGATCGGAGGAGGGCCTATTGAAATTTTCCCAGAAATATTTTTTCCGACTCGGGAACCGAACATGGAACCCCTCTCAGTAGTCGCCCTATCGACCACATAACTAACGATACAGTCACAGTAAGTTTCACATCCTTTAACTTTAATAACGTCTTTCTCCATATATGATAAAGTGAATTATTCTGCTAATGGCACGTTGATCAACGTTAACCTAATATTTGAAAATGACTTACTCTGCTAAAATCTTCTCTTGCACTTCTGGGTGAGATCCAATTGCTAACAATACAAAAGTTAGGGTTCCAGACGTTGTATCATAAGCAGCTGCAACAAATGTATCCAAGTGTTCTCTTATCTCTTCATCACTGAATACATGATGCTCATCAGCTAACTGCAGCATTTGATCCAACGCTGGTTTGAATTTGCCTGGAAAGAGCGACCATGTTTAATAAGACTTTTCACTTAGCTTTGCACCCGACGAGAACTAGACGCGTGCGTAGTACGCGTCACGTTTTGTGAGCGCGTCGCGTTCTGTGAGCGCATCGCGTTCCATTCCAGTGGCCATCTGGGTTTGCTCTCTCCCTCTCTCTCCAAAAAGTGCTTCACACATTTTATGTTTTTGGTTCATTGTCTGTCATTGTGTACAAATAGGTGAGAAAACATCTATTAACATCTATGTAATAAATTACTTATTATAACTTGCTGCGTTTTTTGTAGAAATAGAATTAATTCAAAATAAAATTAAAATATTTTTACCTGATTTCACTTTATCTATATTTTCTATACCATCTTTATTGTTGTTCTTCAAATCTGATTTACGTTTCATTATTACCTGTAAAATAATTCAAGAAATACGGTTCAATATAAAATATTTTTTTCGTAGCTTTTTTGGTTAAATTTTTCTTAAATACCTAGCTAATGATATCACCCTTGACTCAACATACGTATCATAATAATTATTATTTTTGACTATGAAAACCAAAATAGTAATTTTATGACAAGTTTCGTGGATATTTAATAATTTTATCATACATAAAGAAACCTTGGTCCCCTAACACCTTAATGTACTATATTTTTTTTTGTGCTGAGAGTCCAAAGTCAGTAACTTACTCAAAACTAACTTATTTATTAAAATTAATCATAAAAATTGTAAGAAACATACGGCATCTATAATATTATTCATAATCTTCAGCAGATAGTCTTGTTTCTTCCTCAAAGAACTTCTATCGTAGATGCAAGAAAGGTGCAGCCACACTTTCTGAGCTCGCTCACAGTAGACACTGATCAAATCTTCTAATGCATCTGCGTACGCTTCATCAATCATCGTCTGGTCTTTAGCATCTAGTCCTAATGAGGTTCCTGTTAAAATGGATTTGGTTTTTATAACGATGTGTTCGATATAAAGAAAAATACATATGAAAAGATGCATCTATTTAATAATTATAGTTATGAATGTAGGCACTTACCAAGCACAATTCTCTTAGACAACCTGTTCGACGCCATCGTCAAACAGGTTGGCTGATAGAAATTATTCAAAAGTAGAAATTCGAATTTTATTTATTTGCTTGATGTATGACTAGTTTTGACCAATCCTTATTACAAAACAAGATTTTACTTTAGTCTAGGTCTAAACCATTGAGCCAGTTTTTGTATTTCGAATTGAAGGTAGATGACAATAAGATTCAAAATTCAAAACCCGACTCAATGGTTTAAACTTGGACTAAAGATAAATCTAGTTTTGTATTATGGGGGTGAAAGACAAATTAATATGTTAAAAAACTTACGGCTAACAGTCTTCAAAGTATAGTTTATCAAGTATTGTCGTACGTCGAATGGTCCTTTGCCCACTTGGGCGCTTAAGTGAGTGACTAAACCTTGAGTCTGTGTGTTCATTTCATCAACGAATGTATCTAGAACTTTCTGACTAAATGCCGCATCTAGAAGTTTACGATGACTCCTCCATATTGACGCTGGAACAAAAGGTGATATCAACGTTCAACGTTCCATTTTCATACATTTGTGTATAGCTATATATTGTGACCTTAGTTTTAGCTAACAATGTTTGCTTTATTTAAAATGAATCAATATTTTTTATTTATCATCATCATCATCATCAGCCTATAAATGACCACTGCTGAGCAAAGGCCTCTTCTCAAACGGAGAAGGCTTGAGCATTAATCACCACGCTTGCTCAATGCGGGTTGGCGATTTCAAACTTATAATTAGAAATTATAAGTCTAGGTTTCCTCACGATGTTTACCTTCACCGTATGTCAGTGGTGTCTGAATAATCATAGAAAGTCCATACAACTCGGAAAAGTCACATTGGTACTCGCCAGGTTTCGAACCCACACCCTCATGCATGAGAAGCGGGCTCCTTTACCTCCGGGCCACCACGAACTTTTATTTATACTTCTTGCATAATGTACAATGGCGGACTTAACACCCTTCTCTCTAGTTTTCTCTACCTGTCTAACTTTAGATGGTAGAGGAAAAGCAGATATACTTGTCTTTGAAAAGTTCTTTATGTGGATCAATTGAAATAAATGCTGACTTTTTAATTTTTTTACTGTGACATGAATCACCTTTAGGTACAGGGACAGTTTTATCGCCAAGAATCAACATAACCTTAGTGATTTATTTTCATAAGAAAAGGTTTGGTAACATGGTGTGTATGTCATTATGACATACAAGCAGTACACACTAACCTTCAGAAGTGATCAGTCCGTTCTTCAAATATTCCTTTCCAAACTCGTAAAAGTATGCTTTGTTTAAACATGTGTTAGAAACTGTTAGGATTTCGTCTGGATCGGTTAAAACTGCAAGAAAAAAATTCTTTATAGCACTTAAATCATTATTTGAAGGAGTGCGAAAATAAATCCGCGCGATTTCTATTTCACTGCGCTCTCTCCGAACAGCGATAATCGTACATTTATGTGCATATGTTCAGACATTCACATCGTCCACTATATACTTGTCGCGCAAAACCTCCAATAGGTACTAAAGGTGTATTTAGGTTACGCGACCTCTTAATTAATAGAAGAATAAAAAATAGAAGTTTAATATTTACATTATTTTTTATTAAACTTACCATAAACAGAGTGCGGCCCAATCCAGAGTTCAAGAACTCCACCTTTTTCCAAGGAATAATGAAATATTTTTTGTAAGTAACTCCATAAATCTGAAAAGAAGAATATGAGTATGAATGTAATTATTAATAATCAAACCCCATAAAATAAAAATAATAAAAAATATTTATACTAAGTTATTGTTACGACGTCATTAGTGATAAATGTTTTATAATTAGACTGTGATGCTCAGGGCATTAGAAAACATAAATAAATTTATTTAATCTCTTGAAACGGAGACTTTAGTAAAATACAGGTGAAAGGTAAAATTATTCAGCATGAAGATAGAGACACATCAGAGTGCTAAGTTGTAACGACGGTGGCCCCATCTCATGCATGAGGGTCATGAAGGTGCGGGCTCGAAACCTTACAAGTACCAATGTTAATTTTTCCGAGCTATGTGTACTTTCTATGATCATTTAGAAACCACTGACTTACGGTCATGGAAAACATCGTGAGGAAACCTAGACTTATATAATTTCTAACTATTATAAGTTTGATATCGCCAATCCTAGAGCAAGCGTAGTGATTAATGCTCAAACCTTCTCCGCGTGAGAAGAGGCCTTTGCTGAGCAGTAAGCACTTGTAGGACGGCAGACTGGCATTTGTAATGGAATCTTGGTTTTAAGTCTACTACTACTTGGTTGAAATTGTCTACCGTTTATGTTTCTTGTGCATGTGGTGTTAGTCTATAAGTAATTGTTACACTTGGTAATATAAATATTGTTTGCTAATTGTCTAAGTAAAGTGTAAACAATTGTTGGCTAACCTAAATAAATAAATAAATAAATAAATAAAGTTCAAAAGTACCTATAATGGTTTAATTGAAACAAATTATTTGACTATTCACTTTGGTTGTTTGGAACTTAGAGCAGGCCAATCAAAATACAGAATGTCATAAACGTATCAATCGTGGTTGCGGGAAACTTTCACTGCGTATCAGTTTTATAACCCCATAGTACGTTATATTGGATCTTCATAAAGTTTAGAAGAGTTATATCGACCTTAATTCATTCAGAACTCACTGAAAACTGGCGTGAAACAAACACAGCGTTATATTCGCCTTGTGAATGAGGTTACCAAAAGCCCAATCCCTTCCCATCTCCACATCCCTTCTCAATCCTTATCCCTAAAAGGTAGGATACGCACTCGTAAATCTTTTGATGTTTAGGGCGGCGAAGATAGCTTACCATCAGGTAATCCGTCTGCCCGTTTGCCGACCTATACCTACCATAAAAAATAACTGGACCGACGAGTTAATAATGAAGTAATTTGAAGTTAAAACAATTATGTCACATTTTTTTTTATTGCCTACATCGTCCTCATAAGTAATTGATGTAGTTAGTTTCGGACATAAAAAAATTGGAAACATTTTGGTCCGGCCCAAAATGTTTGTTTACATGTAGGTATTTTTAATTTTATATGTATTATGTACTTATGACGTGTATTGTCTTTATTTTGAGAGCTTGTTCTGATATATTTTTTTTTATATGTTTCCGTATTTTTTTTCAACTAAGTCACGTTATAAGTGTTTTTTTTTTATTTTTAAGATAATTATTAAATACATATTTTTTAAGAGTATTAATTTGTATTTTTAAGCGAGAAAGTTACCAAATGGCTTCTGTTGCCTTGGGTGTTCCTGACTAAAAACTGATTTGCGGGCTCTTCCTGACTAAAAAACTGACTTTACATCGGCCCTATTGAGCACCATCTGTAGTTGTGCATTGGAATTTTATGAATTCAAATTTAAAAGAACAAATTGGAATTAGAATACTAATGACAGCTATAATTTTCAAGAACTCAAGTTCAAGTACAATTTATATAAATAATAATTAACATAAAATAAATTCAACTTCATTATGTCACGAATTTAATATATAAAAAAAGATCTAAACGACAAATTAGGACATTCACGTGTTCCGAGTATATTTTTATCTCATAGATCTCAATTCGAATATAACATAGAATAAATTTGCATAAAATAATGTAGATAGAATATTTTTTTATGGGAATGAAGGTAAACGAACGATCAGATCACGTGTTATTGCGCAAACAACACCGCCCTTGGTCACACGCATCGGTAAAGCAGTTACAAGTGCGTTGAAGGCAACGGAAAATCAGACCTTTTGAAGGTTGATTAGGAAGATTGGGCATTAGATTTAAACACTTTTTTTGACATAGGAAAACCATCAAATGACTTCTCCCACACAGGATAAGTCGAGAGAAAGCGGCAGACTCTTGCTGACTAAAAACCCCCTGTTCATTCTCCTGTTTTGAGATAAGGCCGCGATGACACATTGCGCTTACCCCGCAACACTGGCTGAAGCTGTAGGGCTACGTCTGTAGTCGTCTGTGGTCTATTGTCTCTTTTATGCGCGTGAGGATTAAACCCTTGGTAAATTCATTCACACGGCGAAACTGAATCTGAATTTTTTAAGGCCGTGGTATCTGGCCGAACCGGCTCATTAGTGTTGTAAGATGGCTTTTTGGCACTAAAATGAAAACTGCACTTACTTTTCGACTTTTTTCACAAAAGGATAAAGAAGTACGATTCATAAGGAACTTCGAGTGCGTTTTACCAGTAACACATAATATCCACTTGATATATATAATTATGTTACCGGTAATTGATCTGATTGCTGGCAATTGACAGAATAATTGGCTCGGTGGCAATAACATTTCTTGTGGATCCTAAGGTAAATTAAAATAAATGGAAATATCAGTCACTACAAACAAAAACAAAAACAATCAAGTGCTGGTGCAATTAGGTACCACGGCTCCAAGTAGGAGAAAGAATGGGGGGTTTCTTAGTCAGGAAAAGTCTGATACTCCACTCAGAGCAATAAATGTCAATGGATGATTTCGGTCAAAAAAAGATAAATGAAAGAACATGATAAACATTAATAAGTTAAAAAAATACTGAGTCTGGGAAAGAAACTGGGCAGTTTATTAGGTAACTTTTTTAATGTAAGTACGTAATTACCATTCTCAAATAATTTATTTCAATGCCAAACAATCAAATCGTAATACTTAAAAAAATATTTATGGCCTACAAGATTACGAGATTTATTTTATTGGTAGTAATTATAATTATATTCACTTATTATTAATCCTACTAATGTTATAAATATGAAAGTTTCTGATATCTGTATGTTTGTTATCCTTTCACGCAAAAACAGTTTGACCGATTTGGTTGAATTTTTTTATGTAGATAAGTGATAAACTTCTTTTGCTTTTTTTGTTTAGGGAGAGGTCGAGGTGGAGGTCACTCGCAGGTGAGAAAAGTCATTTGATGATTTAATTAGTAAGAGGGAGTCTCAGACTCTTACTGACTAAAAACCCCTGTTCCTTCTCCTGGTCTAGTCGCCGCGATATCTTGGATTTAGACATATGCTTTTTATCAACATACCACAAGGAAGAAACTGCGAGTTCGCAACTTTTATTCTCCCGAGGCCTCTTTAGTCATCAAAAGTCATCAGTAAATCATCCAATAAGGGAGTTTCAGACGTTTACTGACTAAAAACACCCCCGTTCATTCTCCTACTCCAGGCCAAAGCAGAGGTCGACTATAGTAAGTATATATTTAAAATGCAATTATTTTTATTTATTTAACACTTTATGTACATACAAAGGCGGACTTAATGCCCGAAGGCACTCTCTACCAATCAACCTCAAGGGTGATGCAGAGACAAGCACAAACATAAACAAGCACACAAATGATCAAAAAGCATTTTTCAATGGCGCTCAAATTTTTCACTAATTTGAGCGATAAAGAAAATCAAAAATATATTTTTGTCTACAAAATTAATTAACATTTTTGAAAAAACTTGTATAAAAACAAGTTTCTAATGAGGTGGGTCAATAACTCTTGGGATTAAACGGTTTAGTGACATTTTCGTAGATTAGGAGATATAATTATGCATTAAAAATGCATCTATACAGATTAGCATTTGAGGCAATTAAAGCGTGTATAAAAAAATCAACTCAATCTGTTGAAGACATCTGTCTTAATATAAGTACTCTACATAAATATAATATTCATACTACATTCCGATTTGTATAAATTAAATTATTTTATTGTGTTTTAAATCATTTATAGGTAATTTTAATAAGTTTACAAAAAAATATTATTGGTAAAATTATTATTGTAATATAATAATTATTGGTGGAATGGTACGAAAGAAAAAAATAATAATTTATCGCAAGTCATCAAGCCTATAATATTTTTTAAAGAAA